GCTATGCTCCCATATTAAACGTCCTATTTTGCAGCACGCCAGTCGACGTACTTTCGAGCTATGGCAATTTTTTGCCAAAAATGGGAATTGCCATTAGTCAGTTCAGGTTCAACGGATTTTGCTCATTTTTGGTATGTGAATGAATAAGGGCTGGGGGTTTTGATATTTAAAAAAAAATTATGCAAATTAGGTAGGGTTTGGCAATTATATAGCATATTATATAGACACCCAGATAACAAACAGTCTGTGGTGTCACACTCGTCTGGTTCGTTTTACAAGATTTCATTGACAATATCTTTAATGCAACATTCCTGCTATGAACATATTATTATTTATATTATTATTATTTATTATTATAGGAAGAAGGATGCGAGAGCATCGATATATAATCATACTATTATTATTATATTTAATATTTATATATATTATTATTTATACTATTATTATTTATTATTATAGGAAGAAGGATGCGAGAGCATCGATAATTGAATCGTGCTATTATAGTTATTTTATCATATTGCAAATTCCTACAGTTACAGTGAGAATGGTCATTTTCAGAGTATTACATCATTTCATGACTTCATAGGTTCTTTTGCATTTACTGGAGACTGGCATAACGTTTGACCCAAACAACCAATCGATAAAACTACACAATTTTAGAACCGACTACGTTTCTACCAAACCTATGTGCGTCTATACTTCCTTCGGCACGTTCACTACGTAATTCTATATCTAGCATGAAATTCAAACAACGAATCAATAAAATTAGAAAATTTCAGAACCGACTACATTCCTACCTCACCCACCTATCTCCTTCTATACTTCGCTCGGCATGTAATTAAATTTCTTACCCACATCCACGAACTCATCCTGTGTCGGTGTGGCGCCGTCACTCCTGTACACCTCCTCACCCACAGCTGTCTGCGGCCCATGCTCAGCAACCACCGCTGCTTTACGCTGCGCAGCTAACGACATCGAACGAAGATCCTGAAAGAAGATAGAAGAGACAAGCTTACTTGATGGCTTTTTCTCGTTTTCACACATGCACACCACACACCGCGGCGCGACACAGATACGGCGCGCACGCATGCAACACGCGGCGCCGCACACGATACAACGCGCAGAGGCAGCTAACTCACATCACACACATATGCACATACACAAGCACACATCACGAGCCGAGATACGGCGCGCACGATGCACCACGCGCGCGACGCATGCTGCACACCACCTGGCACTCACCACAGATACGCCGCCGCGCACGCATTGCATGGCACACTCATGCACACACAGATACGCGCGCACGCATGCATGCCCACTCACATTCACACACAATCATACACACTACAACAAGCACACATGCACGCACACACACGCATGCACACGTAGACACGCGCGCACACACACGCGCGCACATAATCATACACACTACAACAAACACACACACGTGCACACACGCATGCACACCTGAGTGCAGTGACTGAGAGTGTGAAATTTGTACTTCACCTCATGCCATTATAGATAGACAGACTTACCTTTCCAACAACTGCGGCGCCCCCTACTGGCCCACATGAATCCGGGGATCGGGCGGCAGGGCGCACCTTCTTTTTCATAAGCTTGTGAATGATTGGGGCGCCATCTGGTGGATTTAGCAAGTAGTGGTTGATGCGCGTCTTTAGTTCTCGGGTGGTGAGGGTTAAGAAGCCGACGTGCCGTATTGAGCTTCCCTCCACGCTAAACAACAGAACGCCCGTGCCACACACATCATAAACAGGCATTATTTTTCATTCCCCACCATTTTTAGGCTTGAGCTCTCTCCATCTGCCTTGCACTAGGCCCAACTAACATGGAAACGGTGAAAATCTAATCCTCATGAGCTGTGTTGGTCTGTATTTCATTCCTTTCAACATTACGAAACATCATTAACAAGACAAACGTCTTCACTGTCAAGCTAAGCAAGTACGTGCCTTCTATGTATACCCTGCAGCTATCATGTATGTACAGTATGTACCTGCTATCGGCTGGGGCGGTGCCTGCCTTGCGCTTGGCTGCTTCCAGCGGGCTGATCAAGTCGACGAGGAATCTCTCAGTGATGGCCCTGCGATTGCGACAACGCGCTCGCCTCACGGCTGTCTTCTTCTCCGCCAGCTTCTGCTCCTTCAGCAGCTCCTTCTTCGGAGTTTTCGGAACTGAAGAAATCGTAAATAAATGATAAAATTGATAAATAATAAATATAATTAAAAATGAATCACAAATCGTAATCATAAACGCGACAATGGCAGGTAACCTACGTTGTGCAAACTGTAATCCTACGTCTAATCCTAAATCGGATTTATATTTATGCTATCTGAATTGATTTAAAAAAACGGAAAGTCGAGACTATAATGATATAATATACTCTAAATGCACTACGGCCAGAGAACAACTACAGACATATCGAGGGGGTGATACTACATAAGATCTATTCTTCATAGCTCTCTGCCTTATTCAATTAACGATTCTAAACAGGAGTTTAAATTAGCTTTTAATATAAGTTATTACCTTTCACTGCCTCCATACTGCCTGTGCCATCTTGTTCGTTCAGATAACCTTGTCTGACCTGTAATTACCATAAGATACAGTTGTAGAAACCACCTCCACAAAACAAACACATGTCTATGAAGTGCACCTTTTTTTGGAGCAGCAGTTACACAATGAAATCACCATTATAGAATGGACACGTGCAGATATAAAACACTTACTGCACTTTCCTTGTGTGACCTTTATATATGTACTGTTGCGGATATATGCTGTGTATACCTTTACTGGTGTAGTGGGAGTGTCTCGGCAAGGTTCCGACACGGTCTCGTCCGTTGAGTCGTCTTTCGGTTTCTGGCGTTCTTTCATCAGCTGTTCGTTGTTCGGCTCCTGGCTTTCCGCTTCCTGCTCTCTCTGTCCCCCATCACTCTTTTCTGGCTCTTCCTCGTTCACCTCTGGAAACAAAATTTTGCGATAAATATATCACATAATTTTACGTAGCATACTCTGTTTGGGTGGCATACAATATATGTATATATTAGTGCAAATTTCATTTGTGAGCCTAAAACAAGATTAAGCATGAATCTCCTCAAGGCGGTTCATAGATCTATCTTGGTTAATTTTAGTTTCCTGATAGGAGGCGAAACGTCAGCAGTACGTTTTGAATCAACACGGTCGAGTAAAAATTAACCAAGATAGATCTATTATCTACCAACCGAAGGAACTTATTTAAGGCATTTCATGTTTCTCCAAACGATTACACCTACTGCATTTAGTATATAAATAAATGTTCCCAGCATTACCCTCTTCCTGGCTTGTTTGCATCAGGAATTCAACATCGTCAGAAGACAGGCTGATCTCCTCGTCAAAGTCGGAGAGGTCACTAGTGTGTACGGAGCTAACTGTCACGTCGTCCGACTGATTGCTGCCATCGTCTTCCGTCTCCGTGCCAACAGCTGAAAACAATTCAACGTTAACGTACGGAAAAGATGCTCAGACATTATTTACACATAATTTATTTAACCCTAACCCTAACCCTAACATTCCTACAATCCAAAAGCTACATGTACATTCAAACCTGTGTTAGCTGACACCTGATGAAATAAAATTCTGTCTATAAGGGACACTTCTCCTGTTCGTCTTGATTGACCCTTGTAGAGAGGTTTGATTGTAATTAAAAGCAAACATGTTTGTTCTACTGCATATGATACAGTCACTACATGTAAATCTCACCATTGCTACTTTAAAAGTTCTTGCTATATTGTGATATCACACATTTGTAAGCACACTTCACTATCAGTTCAAAATTCACATTGCGACATACAGAACTGTGTGCATCTCACTCAACTATCGAGCAGGAAGCAACGGGGCCGGGCACTCCATACCTAGCAGTGCATCTGTCAGTGCCTGTACACATGCCACATGCACGCACGCACGCACGCACGCACGCACGCACGCACGCACGCACACACACATGCACGCACATACCACACGCACGCACACATGCACGCACGCACGCACGCACGCACGCACACACCTTCAGTCAGCTGAAGAGTGCTCTCCGTGACGCTGAATGCTCTGTTGTCGGGCGGCAGCTTCTCCGGCGTGGGGGCGCCGGTGGGCAGCGGGATGTCCCACAGGTCGTCGCCGACGTTGTTGAAGCCGATAGCCGGCGACGCCTGTCCCGACGACTGACTCGAGTTGGAATCGACGAGGTCCATCGGTTCTGCCTCAGTCATGTCGAGCGTCGGGTCACGTGGTCCGAACCCGGACTGATCCTCGACGATGATTTCGGACGAGCGTACGGGCGAAAGTGGCTCGATTGGGGGCGGCGCTATCTCGTCCTCTGGAGGGAGGGGCGGGGGTTCATGATCAGGAGGCGGTTCTGGAGGTGGGGCGGGTAAGTCACCTGGAGGGGGAGGCTCGGAAGGCAACGGGGCCGGGCACTCCATACCTAGCAGTGCATCTGTCAGTGCCTGAAAGCATGATGGGGGTTTCTTTGTTACGTTGTCCCAACGTTTCAACTAATTCACCTCAAAGGCCCAAGTACTTTGTCTTATAACATGAACTAGTTTTATATTTACATACTATGAGGTATACTATTTGTGAGGTTGAGCTTTTTTCAACTTGAAAATATATGATAAAACATTAAAAATTTCACAAAAATAAGAATAAATTCGAATGCAATTGTTATATGGGGCCTAATGATAGATATAAAATATTAAAACATCTGCCGAAATTCTTAAAACATACCTTTGCTCCTGGAAACATGGCTCCAGTTGCACCAGGGTACATCGCAAAGTTGTAGGGCAAGTATCCCTGTGGTCCAACCATCCCCATTCCCACATTGTGAGAGGATGTGACTGTAAGACAATCGTAGTTTGCAATGGTAACATTTTGGAGTTTTTTTTTACTAAAATTAACCATGATTTTACCAATTCATATGGCAATAATTATTTTTATTATTATTATTGTTTAGTGTTATTTTATTGTTGCATTATGTGTACAGTATATATATTCAATGAATATTACCTTTTTGTTCCCGGGGTTTGGGTGGTTCTACCCCTAGAAAGTCATAGACTGATTTGGCTATTTCTGGTCGCACAACCTGTGAAATGTTGGGGTTGATCACTTGATCTACAATTCTGTCCATCCCACTGCTCAGCATATGTGACCTATACAAAACAAATGGAATGGCATAACCATGGTGTTAAATTATAGGGAAGAGAATGTGATTATTTTTCCATATGACTATATGATACAATATTAAAAAATCTATCTACATTGAGTAATCTGTGTGTGTGTGCGTGCGTGCGTGCGTACGCGCGTGCGTATGTGTGACCAATATTTTACTTGGCGGTGTTAAATGCCCGATCAGTTCAAAAATCATTCTACCATTATTTCAAAAACATTTTCAACATGCATCCAATCTAATTATCTATTTTCAGAAAGAGAGCGATTTGTCCTGATCGCTCATAACACAATTACTCGTTTATCTGCTGACGTAGGTTGTTCCGCAGCTGATTCTTGTTCAAGTCTGGACGCCATTTCTGCTCTTTCAGAAAGTTTGACACATATGCCACCACTTTCTGTTGTAGATTTTGAAAGGCAGGCTAGAAATAAAATTACGTGTTACAAAATTAGATGCTTAATTGCTTGTTTATAATATTAATAAATTTAAAATTATATTATTATTAAGGTCATATTTTGTTACTGTGTGGGTCTGTGCATTATTCCGGCACTTAATTTTGTGATACATGATAATATGTTGTACCACTTTAATATAATATATACAGTAATCATTATTGCATTTTACAAAACCTAGTATGCTAACCATTAATGATACTCTTAGTCTTAGTTTAATCTAAATTGACTAGGCCTAGTTAGTTACCTTTGTATCGATGTCAGCAAGGAAATCCTTTCTAAATTTGTCAAATGTACCCTCACGCTTTAGGAACCCTACAATATTTGCCACTAGCTTGGGATCACCTGGAGGGAGCTCGCTTGATGACTCTGTAGGCATTTTGATAGCTTAACTTGCCTTAAGAGATTTCTACAATAACAAGTTATAAGAAAACGACAACACTGATTATTTCCATTTTGCGTTACCACCAGGCGTCGCCAATAACGCCGATCGAGACGATTCCCATGAAAAATACATCCATAACATAATCACATGCAATGAGACGTGGGGACAGTCTATATCCAATTTATTCGCGTAATCACGTGGGAGAGGCTCGTGTCGTTCTCGTTTTGTCGTTTCTATCAAATTTGATTTCTTCAAACTCATCAAAAGTCGCACTTTAGGTGCATTCATTAGAGTGGGCGATCGTTGAGTTCATCATCGATCGACCAACACTGATATGTGGGCCGATTCTGACGATGTCGATGAATATGAGAGCCTACCAACTGACAAGGTCTCCACGTATCTCATGGCTGGAGCTATGGCAGGAATTGGCGAGCACTGCGTTATGTATCCTGTGGACAGCGTGAAGGTGTGTGAGGTGGTCACAAATTCATTGATCATTAGTTTGAGCGCCTATAACTTTGAAGAGTCAAGAAGTGTATTTATTTAGGATGTCAGATTAAATTAAATTCTGTATATAACATTGAATATGACCCTCCGGCCTGACCTAATTTCAACTCGATGAGCATAAACATGGGGTAGATATACAATAATGTAACCCAAACCCAGGAGGATAGGGTTACAAAGCGTCCGTATGGACTATGGTTTTGTGCGGAGGAACGCCTAGCTGCGGCTTCAGTGAATCACTCAGGGCGGTTTGCTGGTGCGTTTTCAGAGACTAGAACTTCCAAACTGGGTTTATTCTAAACACGAACCTTTCTCCGCTATCCGGGAACTTGCTATGTATCGCAATACTCTGTATTAAACTAATATAACCTGTTACAAATTTCAAAGTGATGAGCGGCGGATATTTCGAGCGCCATTTCTGTTGACCTGTGACGTACAAATTCCCAATGCGCATAGCGATCGGCAAACGCAGCGCCCTCCGATTGGTCGGTGAATCCACTCTTCAAACCGAAGTACGTCACAGGTCAACAGAAATGGCGCTCAGTATATTCGCCGCTCGTCACTTCGAATTTTTGTAACAGGTTATATTAGTTTAATACAGAGTATTGCGATACATAGTAAGTTCCCGGATAGTGGAGAAAGGTTCGTGTTAAGAATAAACCCAGTTTGGAAGTTCTAGTTTCTGAAAACGCACCAGCAAACCGCCCTGAGTGATTCACTCAGCCGTTCCTCCGCACAAAACCATACGGACGCTTTGTAACCCTATCCTCCTGGGTTTGGGTTACATTATATTGTATCTAAAACTTGAGTAGCTCTGCCCGCGTACAGTTGCCACTGGCAGTACAGTAGCCAGCGGCAACTGTACGCGGGCTATAGTACTAGAGCTAAAACTGGAGTGAATCAATATCTCATATCTGGCCTACAAATGAGCACATCGAGATCTTTATTAAAGCACAGTCTCACACACATGACATGGTTTTAGACTAAAGCACTAGAAAAGGAGAAGTGTGTCACAAATGTGACTTCATAAAGACGGGACAAATGGAAGATTGTAATTGCCTTTGAACGTTTCGTCACCAATAATTGACCGCGAAATTGTTTTTTCAGACCCGAATGCAAAGTCTGAAACCAAACCCTGAAGCGACATATCGAAATATATTTGATGCCTTCTACAAGATAATCCGATATGAAGGTCTGTGGCGACCTGTGCGGGGCATCAATGCTGTCGCTGCCGGTGCCGGCCCAGCTCATGCACTCTACTTTGCATGTTACGAGAAAATCAAGAAACGTCTTGCTCACGGATCGTCGGGGAACAATTCGCTGAGGAATGGTAATAACACAAGTTGCTGTTAAGTGAAATTGTGTATAATAAAAAAAAAGTACATTTTTTGTAGTTGTCTGGCTGTATCATGAGATTTAATTAGGAATGCAATGAAAGGGTTGATTTCACATCGATTCATGGCATTTCCTGCCCTTGAAAAAATAATGAACAAAATTATATGGAACTACTGATATGTCTTCACATTTATTTTTGAAGCTGCGCCTTCGTTGGTAATTAAAATCAGTGAAATGCTATGTCAGCACTGTGCCTGTACACATTTATATGAAACTTTTACCCTCAAGCTCAATATATGTTGTAAAATCATAAAGCTGACTCATGCTTGCATAGATGCTCTATAGTGCATTGGTTGCATGTAATACGTGGAAATTGTGTACTGTACGTGTCACTAATCCGGTTTAAAGTATATGAGAGGAATCGAGCTAACTATTATGTTGTACACGGTAAATGAGCTGGTTCCTCCCATGTTTGTGCTTGAATAACATTGCTTCTTTGTTTAACTGTTTGAGTAAATTTCTCATATTTCTTTTAGGTTTAGCTGGTGCAACAGCAACTATTTTCCACGATGCCATCATGAACCCAGCAGAGGGTTAGTATCGTTTCTATGCACCTGAAATCTTACATGTCATTGAAAAACCTGTTACAATCACAAGGTATCTGTCAGGAAGGAAAGAAGATAGTACGAATTACATCTTGCACATGAAAGAATTCCTGATGTTGTAATAGAAAATCTTCGATATATAGGCTTTTTGTGGTGAAGGAACAGTACAGTCTCTGAGATGTGGAAGGCAGCGAAACTGGTTGTGATTTTATCTCATGGGCAGTCTGATGTTCAAGGTGGAATTTCTGTGTCCTCACCTGGATAACATAGTAGAAGATAGCCTGCAGGCATATATTGCCGTGCATAATGGAGTCAAGCTCACGAACGCTCAAGTTTATAGAACCAGTAAAAAATTGATGCTGTAGTGCAGTAACTAAGCCAGAGACAGAGGTATACTGCGAATTTGTGAGAATCCAAAGATTTCAGAAGAAAATCACGCTAAAGCAGGAAAGAAGCAGCAGTTGTTCCTATCAGAGCTACAGCAATGTAAGGATATGGGGCAGCAATTAAGTTGGAATCAGCTATGCTGATAGACAAGGCAGATAAGCTGTAAAGGTCCATGAATTGAACTTGCTCATGGAAATGTATGGCAGAGGCAAAGGCCAAAAGCTACCAGGGGAACAGAAGAGAAATGATGAGCTGATGTTTATGAATGTTGCTGTAAAGAAGCTTGTGTTGGAGTAGGAACTGTCATAGGCTTGTTTCGGTTAAACCATAAGTGCTAACTTTAGCGGTTCATTTGCAGATTGATGTTGAATCCGGAGATTCAATGACAATGAGTAAATAGATGTTCTGAAGTCTGATAGCTGCACGGCTACTTTCTCTCTTAGACATGTACTGAGTTCAATAATTGTACAAACAAATTATGTCAATATTTGATTAGATTAGCTATCACAATAAAGCATAAGGAAGTACTTTGGCATGCTTTTTACATGTGCATGACTATCAATTTTCTTAGAAGATATGAGAGATAGTAGGGCTTATTTGAACTGTAACTTTTGGGTGTTCATATGGTATTGTGCAATAAGTTTGCAGGGATTATTACAGCACACAATTCAGATAGCACGAAGCATATATTATGAACTCTGGTGTTTACTGGGTTAGTCATGTACAGGGTTCTCCCTACGTTGCGCAAACGGGGCGCGCGCGCCCCGTTTGGGAAAACTCCCCCCTGTTTCAATCGTTGCGCCCCGTTTAAATTACCTCCGCCCCGATTAAATTCCACCACAATAAAAGTTTGACAGCGCGGGAATTGATCGTCAAGAATTCCCATTCGGCCAGGACACCCGGCTCGTGTATTTTTACCGTACCACGCATGCACTGCAGACCACACACAACTACAAACAGTCAACCTGCTGTCCCGAACCCAACACTAACTGTACACCGACTCGGCTATCTTATATATACAAGAACCCCAAATACCGTCTATGGTGTGGTGGCGATTTTACGCATTAATTAGTGGTACGGTAAAAAAGGACCCTGGACCCCCTAACTGTGGTTTCAATAACCTGTGGTTGTCTCCTGTCGAGTTTTCTATTCGTTGTCCCTCCTTA